GAGTCCACCTGGATGAATTCAAGATAGAGGACGGTTCTAGCACCCTGGAGGCTTCTTTATGCCCTCTTCCCAGTCATTAATTCCCAAAGGTAAGCACTGTCCTGATTTCTGACACCACAAATTAGTTTAGCTTGTTCTTCAACTTCGTATAAGTAGAGGGATGCAATGGATGCTTTTTGCATTTTCTCTTAAGTCAACATCACATCAGTGAGGTTTAACCATGTTGTTGTGGCTAACAGTACTTTGTTTTTATTGCAATGAATCTTCTATGGTCCTTGCGGCAAGAACCTCAGTTGACCACACGGAAGTTCTCCAGTCCTGAAGTGGGATCTGAGCAGCACGTCAGAGCATCAGTACAATGGACATTTGGGCTGTTTCTAGTCTGGGGCTGTTATGAATAACACTGCTCCGAGGATTCACGTACTGGTCTTTGTGGACAAATGCACCCAAGCCTGTTGGGCATTCACCTAGGAGAGGCATGTCTGGGTCATTAGGTAGGCGTACCAGCAACATTAGGAGGCACTGACACGCTGCCCTACTTGGCACTCACAAATCCTTGCTGACCACCTACTGTGCACATGGCCCTAATTGTTTGAGGGGCTGGTTTCTAGGCTCGGCAGCCCCTTGCCCTCTGAGATTTCCACCCAGTGGGGAACAGCTGAACACAGGCAAGTGTAATAAGGTAAGGGTCCCAGGGCCCTGGTGGTGGGAGGGACAAGGGGCCAGGCTGCCTAGCTGTCTCCAGATTGGGCTGGGCTTCCACTGGCTTTCCATTTCTGCTCCACCACAGTTGGCTTGGACCCTGGACAAGCGCTCAGCTTCCTTAGCTGTATGGTGGGTATTGAAACAGCTGTCCAGCAGCTTCTCAGAGCACTTGAGGCTACTTAGGAAATGCTTCTTTGGAAGCCCTTTGAAATGATGCAGCCTGGGCAAATGATGAGGGCTGACTGCCAGTGAGGGAACCCTGGAGAAGGATGAGGGACTATGAGGGGGCTCGGGGACAGGAGAGGAGGCGGAGAGGTCTTGGAAGCCTCAGCCTTCTGACCTCCCTGCCTGGGGGTGCCCCTCCTAGCTTTGAGGGGCTCAGCACATCCTGCAGTACCGACTATAGCCACCAGGGGACGCTTCAAGAACTGTCTGAAGGCTGCCCTCCTCCAAAGGGCCAGTCTTACTCCTTTGGAGCAGACATGCACACAGCCTTGCTGTGTAGGTGGCTTGGACACGACAGAAGGTCTCCGACGAGAGGTGGCCTCTGTCTCACTCAGGTAACCCTTTAGCAATTATCCATAAAGCTCCTACTGTGGGGTCAGCACAAACAGGGAGGGACCACTAAATGCTCAAAAGGTTACAAAGTGGCCTAAATGAAGAGGCATGGGCGGGGGGCACAGTGACAGAGGGGAAGCAAGCCCCCACAGATCCCACGATACAGACATATGGCTCCTAGCTGCCTCTGACCAGAGCCCCAGAGCCCTTAGTTACTGATGTAAGGACCTGTAAAAATACCTCAGGAAATAAGATTACATTGCATCCCGAAAAGTCTGTGGGATGCTCTTCTGCCCGCGAGAACGAACATAATGTGCCATGTTTGCAAGAAAAAAATAATAATGCTAGTTTGCATCTTATTGATAGTTCCAGGAGGTAGGATTTCTGCCCTTGTACTCTACAAATGACAGCAGTAATGCAATCTGCTGAGAATTACCCCCAATTCCAGGTCCCTAAAGCGGAACAACCAGGTCCCTGAAGCAGAACCATCAGCTTACCACAAACAGTCACGGAGATAGATGCTGGGTCATCAAGAAAGGAAATATCAGAGCCCACATAATCCCTAATCAATCAGCATGATCCAAGACCCTGAGTTTTCATCGTTTAAAAACCCCGGCTTGTGGGATCCCTGGGTGGTGCAGCGGTTTGGCGCCTGCCTTTGGCCCAGGGCGCGATCCTGGAGACCCGGGATCGAATCCCACATCGGGCTCCCAGTGCATGGAGCCTGCTTCTCCCTCTGCCTGTGTCTCTGCCTCTCTCTTTCTCTCTCTCTCTCTGTGACTATCATAAATAAATAAATTAAAAAAAAATTAAAAAAAAAAAAACCCGGCTTGTAAGCCATCGGGGAACTCAGGACTGGAAACATTAGCCCCCCCGTTCTCCTGGCTGGTGCCACACCAACAAATAGCCTATCTTTCTTTACTGCAAAAGCTCTGTCAGCTTTTATTGGCTTCGTTCCGTTACAGTAGCACAGGGGTTAACGCACTTCTCTTGAGCCAGAAGCCCAAGGCCAAGTCCTGATTCGAAGTTTACTGACTTGTGATGGTGAACAACTTGCTTCCCCTCTTTGTGCCTCGGTTTCCCAGTTTGTAAAATGGGGATCATTATAATGAATAGATATTTTTGAGAAATTACCATGAGGATTAGCAAGTTAATACAGTATTGGTCTGGGGCACCTGGATGGCTTAGTGGTAGAGTGTCTGCCTTTGGCTCAGGGTGTGACCCCGAGGTCCTGGGATCAAGTCCCACATCGGGCTCCCTGCAGGAAGTCCGCTTCCCCCTCTACCTATGTCTCTGCCTCTCTGTGTGTGTGTCTCTCATGAGTAAATAAATATAAGCTTTAAAAAAATACAGTACTGGACTTAGAACACTGAGTGTGTGATGGAGGTGCTGCCTTGGCAGCCCTGAACCTTAGATGTCAGGCCCGAGGCAGGATGGCAGTTCCTCAGAAAGCCTACTCCCCCTGAGGTCCTGCAGATGGAACTATACCGCATCAGCCTGTTGGCATCAGGTAGCCTGATGTCTACAGCTTGCCAGATAATTTTCCACCAGGGCTGAGGGGACCTGACTTCCCTGATAAGCTTCCATAATCACTTCTTTTATAAGGTTGGTTTATCAACACGTGATCCTGGCTCCAGCCCTCTGGTCACCATCCAAGGCAGCCAATGATGCAGGTAAAGCCAGAGTGGGGGAGGAGGGAGGAGGGAATTTGGGGCCCCAGCACTGCCCAGAGATAAGGTGATGCCTTAAGCCTGAATCCCTCAGGTTGAACCAGCAGGGGCCTTTACCTCAGACTAGACTAGCTGGAACCACCAAAGTTGAACTCGCTGTGATTGCTATTGACTTTTCTCACCAGTTTGCCTTTGGCCTTTGAAAGATTACTTCTAGAGGGGGAAACAGAGGGAGTCTGGCCAGGGGTGTGGTGTGAAAGAGAAGGTCCAGGGTCCAGGCAACATCTTCTGAGGGCAACTGGGGCCAGACTGATGTCATCTCTCCATTGCCAAGACTAAAGTCACGGCATGTCAGGGCTAGAGGGGCCAACAGACCAGCTTATTTTGGCTTCCTGCTTTACACATGGGGACACCAGGGCCCAGGGAGGGGAGGGGAGGGCAGGGGAAGGCAAGAAAACACAGGAGGCAGAACCTGGGTCTCCAGATCCTCCATCCTTTCCCATCTCCACAGCCTCCTCGGCCCAGTCAGCAGCACCACTGTCTCCAGCTGCTCCAGGGACATGTATCCCTTAGCTGAGTTCAGAGTACTCACTGATCATGGCCTTGATCTGGGGTCTTGGGAAGGGCTCAGCCTGGGGGTGGGGGCCAGGGAACGCACAAGCCTCTGAGCTAACCCGAGGCCTTGCCACCTAAAGTGGGTTCCACAGAAACACCTTGTTAGAAATGGAACATCTCAGAGGATCCCTGGATAGCTCAGTGGTTTAGTGCCTGCCTTTAGCCCAGGGTGTGATCCTGGAGACCCAGGATCAAGTCATTGGGCTTCCTGCATGAAGCCTGCTTCTCTCTCTGTCTGTGCCTCTCATTAATAAATAAATATTTAAAAAAAAGGAATATCTTAGCCAGAGCCCTACACCTTCTGAGCCAATTAGCATTTTATTTATTATTTTAAAAATTTTACTTATTCATGAGAAACAGAGAGGCAGAGAGAGAAGCAGGCTCCATGCAGGTAGCCCAACATGGGACTCTATCCCAGGTCTCCAGGATCAGGCCAATCAGCATTTTATTTATTATTTTAAAAATTTTACTTATTTATTCATGAGAAACAGAGAGAGGCAGAGGGAGAAGCAGGCTCCATGCAGGTAGCCCAACATGGGACTCTATCCCAGGTCTCCAGGATCAGGCCCTGGACTGAAGGTGGCGCTAAACCGCTGAGCCACCGGGGTTGCCCTAGCCTCAGTTTTCCTATAAAAATGGAGAGGGCGAAAGATCTCTGACTTGTTTTGTTTTTAAATAGACACCACACCCAACATAAGGCTTGAACTCACAACCCTGAGATCACCTGAGGATCAAGAGTGAATTGCTCTATAGATGGAAACAGCCAGATGCCTCAGATCTTTTACTTCGCAGCCAGAGCCAACACACCAGGAGCCAGGCCTTTGGCACGACCTCCTGGTGGGACTATGTGTGTTTTGCAGCGGATTCTGGAGAGCGGAATTCCAGCTCCAGCAGGGTTGGGGGAGCAATCAAGACCTCTCCCATTCTGCCCGATTTTCTCCTTTTCCCTCTGCCTAAGACCCAGGGCTGGGGCAACTTCATAGGTCCTGGGATGCAGCTAATTCAATTCAGTCCACTTCAGCAACACTGATTAGGCACCGCCTGTGTGCCCGGGTCTGTAGCAGTAGAATCTCCACCCTGACTGTGCATTAGAATCATCCTGGGTGCCTTTAAAAATGACTGATGCTGGACCACCCCCCACCCCCAGGCCACTGGAATCAGAGTCTCTGGGAGCAGTCTGGGCATAAGTACTTACTAATGTGCCTCAGGCGATCATAACGCACAGTGGGGCTCAGAACAGCTGGTCAGAAGTGAGGGAGTCTATCCTAAATCCTACTCAGGCCATCTCCCGAGTCCCTGCTTCCTTTCGATCGGCCAGCTGTGGCAGTTCTGCTGCGAGCCAGGCGCAGTCATCAGGAAATTCCCTGGGTATCATAACTCGTGACAGCCACATCTAATTAATCATCAACCTTGTAACATGATCCTGCTCATAACGAGGGGACCTGCTGAGTCTTTGGAAACCTGTCCACTGGTCTTCTCCAGACAATTCCTTCCAGACCCAGGGACCTGTGCCCGAGGACCCCAGGCTGATGGGAGCCCAGCTCTGCTCTGAGGCTGGTAAGTGGGAGCCCCAAGCTTGGTCCCTAGACCAGGGATGCAAGAATGAGAGGGGAGGCTGTGGAACCTTGGGAGAGTCACTTTTCCCCTAGGGCTTCAGTTTCTTCATCTGCAGGCCAGGGCCAATGCAACTCACCCTGCCCACAAGCTTACGGGACTGCTAGAAGCACAAACCAAAAGGTTGCCAGGCACAATAGTTCTGAGATCCTCCCCTGAAAGCACAGTGTTCCCTTAGCATGCAGGGCAGGGGATGGAGAGCCTGGTCTTTTACCACCAGACACCAGGATTGCATCTCGGAACCCCGCTCCCTCCCAGGCAGAAAGCCTGGAGTCTCAGCCCTTGGCTCCACAGGGGCACAGAAGGCTCGCACAGCAGTAGCAGGTAGCACCCAGAGCTCCGTGGGAAAGAAGGTGGTAAGGAGGGTGGGGACCAAGCCACTAGCTGCTGCTGTGGCAACTGTGTTTTGGATTCCAGGTCATGGCGGTGCCACAAAGGAGGCAGCGTAGGAGTGCAGGAGCAGGAGCTGGGCTCCGGCTCAGCTCCGGCTCCTCTGCTCCTCACTGTGGAGATGTGCAGAACCACCCCAAACTCAGTTCCCTCTGAGTGCTTCCCTTCAGGCTGTGGGAGGAGTGAAAGAAGCTGTAAAGGGTAATGCGTGCCTGGCACCCAAGGGCTTTGATGGCTGGAGGGGTGGCCAGGAGGATAATAAAGATCCAGGGACGTCCTTGCGGAGCAGAGGGCTGACCCTCAGTCACTTAGATTCCAAGAGACTTACTGCAAAGATTCTCTTTGAATCAGCCTCGGGGTGTGGGGTGGGGAGGGGAGACATCCAAAAGTTGTGACACCTGTCTCAGGGGGTAGTTAACTCCTCACATTTAGGATCTCTAGGCAGGTCCTTGGCAGGCCAAACATATTGATCCCATTGGTGGAAAAGGAGACCTGTACCAAGAAGGGCAGTAGGCAACAGCAATTAGCATCTGGGTATCAGTCCTGGCTGCCCTCCATAGAGCCTCCTGGATGCCTCAGCGACTCTGCAGTGGGCCCAAAGACAATCCATCCGATGTCAGGGCCCTTGACTCTGGCTCCTGGTCACTGTCTATGCCTATCCAGGGACTCTCCCTTGTTTGTGCATAGCCTCCAGGAAAAGGCATCTGGGCAGACCATCAGGAAGGAAGGGAGAGATGAAGATATTCCAGAAGGGGATGAAGGTTGTGCAGGGGGCTTGGGTGAGGGAGGAGTGAACTTGGATAGCAAGGCCCTATGAGCGTGTTCAGAGGTCCCCAAGGCCACAGTGAGTGCTTGTCCCTAATGCCTCATGTGAGAGAACCATGGTAGGCTTGCCTTTGGCCTGAATCCATCAGAGACAGATTCCCTATGACCTCAGGGGTATCCCTTGTACCCGACCAGATTTAGCCTCTCCTCCTTCTGACCTTCTGGAATCTTGAAGGCTTGTGAGTAGTCAGAGAAGTGTGGCTGGGAAAACTGGTAAGATCCAGGAGGGCAGGGGCCTGCTTTTTGGGTTGGGGTCTAGTTCAAGTTCCAGTGGAATTCCCTTCCATTTCCAGCTTCCATCTTCCAACCCAGAAAGAGCAGGACAGGAGGGGAGGAGGGGAGGAGAGAGAGGAGAGGCGTAGCACTGGCTCAGTGCAGGAAGCTCACCAGCTTCCTCCAGGCTCAGGCCTGAGGCTTGGGAGGAAGGGCCGCCCAGGAGGGAACTTCCCCTCCCAGCTGCCAAGCGGAGTGGGGTTGGGAAGTCCCCTGATTGTAAAACCCAACCCTGGGGCTTGGCTGGCCCAGTCCAGGATTCTGGGCGGCAGACCTGGGACTCCCTCTCCAGCCTATGCCTCCTCCCGCTACCTCCCCCTGTGCAGGAGCCGTTGGATTCCTTTCTCTCCTAGGAAGAGGAAGTCACCCTCTCTGTGGACCATGGCCTTCACAATATGGGGCAGGTTCTCTGTGGGACAACCATAAAGTCAGACAGAGAGGAAAACAGCACCAATACCAGGACCCATCTCCGCAAGCTAACCACAATTAGCAAGCCCATCCCCTCTCAGATTGTTTCTAGATACAGATAGAATATATATGTGCATATTAAACATATATGTGTCGAACAAAACCTGGATCATATTATAGCTACTGTTCTAAAACCTGCTCTATTTAATGCCAATAACCATTACCAGGTATCGAGAGCCAGCACAGGCAGGAGTTCCTTCCATTTTTACAGCATCTGAATTTCGCGATGGAACTCGGATCCCAGGCACGCAAAGCAGGTTCCTCCTCAGGCTTCATCAGCTCTCCGGAGGTCCCCTGAATGAGGGCGGCGCAAGGGGCCCCCGGGAAACGGGGGCGGGGCGGGGCGGGGGGGGGGGCGCAGAGGACTCCGCGGAGCCGGCAGGTGCGGGCCCGGGCCGCGCTGACACTGCCCCGCCTCCCCGCAGGCCCCAAGGCGCCGCGAGAGACCCTCCGCTTCCACCTGGAGGCCAAGGGCGCGCAGGTGCGGCTGGACGCCCGCGGGAGCACCGCGCGCAGGCGCGCCACGTTCCACGACGGCATCGTGTTCAGCCAGCGGCCCGTGCGGCCGGGCGAGCGGGTGGCGCTGCGCGTGCTGCGGCACGAGCGCGGCTGGTGCGGCGGGCTCCGCGTGGGCTTCACGCGCCTGGACCCCGCGCGGGTGTCCGCGCCCAGCCTGCCGCCCTTCGTGTGCCCGGACCTGGAGCAGCAGAGCCCGACGTGGGCGGCCGTGCTGCCCGAGGGCTGCGCGCTGGCCGGGGACGTAGTCCGCTTCTGGGTGACCCGGCGCGGCCGGCTCTTCGCCACGGTCAACGCGGGCCCCAGGCTCCTGCTGCGCAAGGGTGTGCTCATGGGCGCCCCGCTCTGGGCCGTGATGGACGTGTACGGGACCACCAAGGCCATCGAGCTGCTGGGTGAGGCGGCGGGACCCAGGCATCGCCCCTGGGTGGGAGGTGGAGGCTCGGGTGGTACCACGCCCCCCCCAGCCGGGGGTGGGGGTGGGGTGGGGAGATCGCTCAGTTTTTCATATATGGTTGTTGCGTCAGCTCCTGCCCAGTGTCAGGTGTGAAGATGGGCACTGGGGATGCCAGATGGACAAGACCCAGTCAAAGGGAGAGCAGCCTTGTCCCTAGAGAACGCTAAGATATGACTAGCATTCCAAACATCTGTTAAAGGGGGGTTTCACAAAGGGAGAGATTGGGGACCAGGTTTTGCCCCTAAGTAGTTCACAAGAGTCAAGGGTGGCAAGCAAAGGGAACATAAGTATGAGGGTTAGAGGTGCACAGGAAGACTGGTTGTGCAGTGGGGGTAAAGTGAGCCATTCCGTCAATGGGTAGGGAAACAGGAACCGTCCGTCTAGCCACCTTAAAGGAGAGTGGATTTCAGGGAGAGTGGATACAGGAAACGCCCATAAAAAGAAAGATTGGGATTCCTGTGCTGCTCCTCCACGAGCTATACAAGCAGTCCATTCTCTCCTCCGTTTTTATTTTTTTTTAAATTTTTTTTATGATAGTCATCAGAGAGAGAGAGAGAGGCAGAGACACAGGCAGAGGGAGAAGCAGGCTCCATGCACCAGGAGCCCGATGTGGGACTCAATCCCAGGTCTCCAGGATCGCGCCCTGGGCCAAAGGCAGGCGCCAAACCGCTGCGCCACCCAGGGATCCCTCTCTCCTCCGTTTTTAAAATCACTTGTCACAGCTGCTGAAGCCTCACCGCCCCCTCCCCAACACACACCTGTTTTGGTTGGTCTGGCGTGGGCCCAAGCACCTGTTTTCCCCCACCAACTGGGGGATTTTAGTGCACATCTGGGTTTAGGAAGGCAGGTAAGGCTGAGGTTCTCCAGTCAAGCAGTGACAATAGGGCAAAGAGGAGGTGTCTAAAAGAAGGGTGGGGTGGTTTAGGAAAAAGAATCTACAGCCTCACAAAGTCTCTGCTGGGTTAAACTGGGGAGGGGGTGGTTGGGGCCGTAAGATCAGTGGGGAGCTCCAGCACTGTAACCCAGGAAAGAAAGCCCATGCAGTTACCTCAAGATCTGGGAAGGGACTGTGGGAGCACCCTGGCTTTGCTTTCCCTGGGCCCTAAGTCTCCCTCTCTGCCTCAGATCCCACAGCCAGTGTCTTCCCCTCAACCATGCCACGGGCCGTCGGTGATGAGACTCTGCAGCCTGAAGGTGAGTGGCTTCCCCCAGCACCAGGGACTCCCCAGGACTCCAGCACCAGAGGCACCAGGGGAGGCCCCAGCTCTGGAAGCTCACTAAAGTCTTTCCAAGTCTCACAATGTCTCCCGCAGGCTTTAAGTCAAAAGATTGGGTGCTGCCTATGGGAAACCTAAAAGCAACTTAATAGCTCTGCCTTCTAGAACATTCACTAACTTTACAAATTACAAGAGCCCATTCATGAACAAATAATGTGATTTTGTCCCTGCTTTAAAAAGCAGTCCATGTTCATAATAAAAAATTTGCCAAACAGAAATAAAATAAATATTAAAGAATATATATGGAAGTTAAAAAAAATCACCCGTGACCTCTTAGGTGGATTTTCTCCTACTATTTTGTAGTCATATTTCTATGGGAAATTGTGCTCTGTTTTCCTTTTTCCAAAGTTGAACTTTTGTACGTACATTATGGCTTTCTTCCCAGTTGTTTTCTTTTGTTTGTTTCTTTTATTTTTTATTTATTTATTTTTTTATTTATGATAGTCATACAGAGAGAGAGAGAGGCAGAGACATAGGCAGAGGGAGAAGCAGGCTCCATGCACCGGGAGCCTGACGTGGGATTCAATCCCGGGTCTCCAGGATCGCGCCCTGGGCCAAAGGCAGGCGCCAAACCGCTGCGCCACCCAGGGATCTCTGTTTGTTTCTTTTAGATTTCATTTATTTGAGAGAGGTTTGGGGAAAAGGAACAGGAGGAGAGGGAGCGGGAGGAGCAGATTCCCTGCTGAGCAGGGAGCTCAGTGCTTCAATCTCAGGACCCTGGGATCACAACCTGATCCAAAGACAGACACTTAACCGACTGACCACCCAAGCGGCCCCCCCAGGTTTTTTTCATTTGATTATGTTGAGAGCATTTTCTCATGAGGTAATCTTCAGAATAGGACTGTGTGGTTCTCTGCCCTAAGTTATACCGTGGGTAGGCTGCTTGCTGTTTGCCCCCATGTGCCCCAACTGGTGTTGTCCCCTTTTCCAGCCACAGCAGGGGAGGGGTGCATCATCTGCTTCCACCATGCTGCCAACACCTGCCTGATTCCCTGTGGCCACACACACTTCTGCAGCTACTGCGCCTGGAGGGTCTTCAGGGACTCTGCAAAGTGCCCTGTATGTCGCTGGGAGATCAAGACCATGGTGCCTGTTCGGGGCCCTCCTACTCTGAGGACTGGAGAGGGCCTCCTGATGCGGATGGCAGATTGAGTCTAGCTCCGAGCCTGGCCTCTGCAGAGGGAGGAGGTGCAGGTCCACTCGCCTTCTGGAGAATAGTCAGAAGAGCTGGTCAACAACAAGGATAGCAGAGAAAGGAGGCAATGACTCTTTCCCCCTCCCCGACAGATTGGGGCCAGTGGAGAAACGAGGACCCCCTTTTTCTGCCCACACTAGAACTATCTCCCTGGTGGCATTCCTGGCTATAGAAAGTGGTTCATTTGTGCCCAGGGCTTGCCAAGGCTTTTGGCTGGCCACTTGGTACAGCCACCATAGGACAGACCTAGCAATGCTTGCTAGGTACATACATATAGGTCATGTCAATGAGAAAGGCCTTTATTCAGAGATGGAACAGCCTGATCCCTGGTTTTATCGGGAGGAAGTTAAGATACCGGCATGTAGCTGGTGGAAGCCCAGTCCACCCTGGGGTATTGAGGAGCCTGGACCAGACACAGGGAGGCATCTGGGTGGAATGTTTATACTCCTGTATGGAAGCTGGGTCCCCTCTGACAAGTCCTCCGTAAAGTGGATCAGTGGTTACCCACCCTGCCTGCCTTGCAGGGTGATTGTGAGATCCCAGTGAGATCACATATCTGCAGATGTTTCTGCACACGAGCCTGTACTGTTGTTGCTGTGCTTATTTCCTTGCCAATTTCTGAGGTGTCAAAATAAAATGTATCTTTTGTAAAGTATTCTGTTATGAGTATGTACCCTTTGCCGCAGTCATGGGGGATGGATGGAGCTGTGGGCCGCCGGGATGCTGGGGCATTTGGGAACATACCTCTGTCCTCTATAGACACACCCTAGGCTTGCAGTGGACTGACTGGGTGGGGCTCCGACTCTCAGGCCTGTGGACTTTGTTCTGAGCATTTGAAGGGGATAGTACTGTGCTCCCAGCCCTGACATCACAGCCAGGCTTAGCCCTTTGAGGGGACTGCCAGGAAGCTCTGGCTCCCGAATGAGAGAGGAGTTGACCCGGGAGCCCACCTCAGCAGGTGCTTGTGTTAGGGCAAGCCATACCTATTATTTTTCTATTGTTCCTTGCTCCATGACTGGTGGGGAGGTATCTCCTGGGAAAGAGGGCTAAAAGGGCAATTCCAACCTTTTGTGCTCAAAATTGTCATGATGGGCACCTTCATAAACTGCCTCCCTACCCACACCATTGCCAACCAGTGGGTTAGGGCATTGGGTTTGGTGACCCTGGAATAGCTTACACTCTGGAATAGGATCCCCTCTCCATCACTCATGAACGTTGGTTGTGTTACTTGACTCCTGTGAGCCTCAGTTTCTTCATATGTAAAGTGGAAATAAGATCATTTCTTTTGTTGGCAAGTGTGAGTATCATAAGTATGAAACTTGTAGCTTTGATGAAGTACTCAAAACATGGCATCTGCCTTCTCCTGAAAAAGGCATCTCCTAGGGGAAGCAGCCAAGAGATCAATGGGCTAGGTGTCAGGGATCAGGGTGTGAGTCCTGACAGCCCACTGACTTTTACCATGGGCCCCCATGTCACCCCAGTATCTTGGAATGATTCCTATAGATCCTTTTTTTCCTTCCTTTAAAGTGTCTTTTTGTTTTTAAATCCAGAGACTTGTAGGACAAGGGCAGTACTTTAATCCTATTTCCAGTGAATACCTTCTTATTAGTTAACACCTGAGAAAGCCTGATCTTAGACATGATCTCTAACCAGAGTGGAGGAACTTCTGGAATGGTGGAGTAAGGAGTTCTATAAATCCATTCTTCCATAAAAGCGACACAAATATTGGCAGGATTATAAAAAATCAACTTTTCCAGAACTCTAGATATTAGCCAAAAGTTAACAACAATCTGAAGAGGGGTTTTATCCAAGAGAAACTGCTCAACTTTGGTATGAACAGTGGAATTTGTGGTGTTTTGACTTGGCCTACTGCCATCCCTTTAGCCTCAACTCCATAGGAGCCTTGAAAAACAGCAGCCTGGAAGCTGCTGGAGGGGACAGGTTGGGTTAGGGGAACCTCAAAAGTTCTGCCCCCCAAGTATTATCACTGTTTGGACTGTATGGTAATTCACTGGAAAAGCTTGATTTACGGGGTGTTATTATTGAATTCGAGTTGGAGCTCTCTACTTGGGAAAAACCCTATTCCCAGGGCATTTGTCAAATATAATCAGGCTCAGTTGCTTAGCCTCACAGCTGCCAAAGACTGCAATACCTGTTGGGGCAACATGAGCCCAGCCAAAGACCTAAAAGGGAGATCTGAGAAATTGGATGTACAGAGGGGAATTTGAAAAGCTCTGGTATAATTTCCCAGGGTCTAAAAGATGACGTACATGGTCTAGAAAGACCGGAAGGCCACGATCTCTCACTTCTGGCTGACCTTGAGGTCCTATACAAGCAGGAAGTAAAGACTAAGACAAAGCTGTAAATTGTTTGAACATTGAAGGGATACATCAACACACAGAGCTTCTTGGTCAAAAGTGGAAGATTTTCTAGCTCAAGGCGTTTAAGGAAATCTCTGTCCAATCGCTAGCTGACCATTACGCTAACCCAGCAGAGACATCGGTGGCTGCACACTGAGGAATTATAGACCTCACAGAACTGGTTCAGGAAAGTCATTGAACAAACAAATATACAAACAACAGTAGCAACAAACCCTGGCAGGGGTTGGGGTGCTGGTGCTGGTGGTGTCATCTGATATTCAAAGTTGCCATATTATGTTCTCTAGAGGATCCGGTTTTCAAAGACGGGGGGGGGGGGAATAGATATATATATAATCCTGAAAAGAAATAAGAAAGCATGGCCCATATACACAGTATGGCCCATTTCAGTGACTAGATGCTGTCCTGAAGGCTAGATTTTGAACTTATTAGACATAGATTTTCTTTTTCTTTTTTCAATTTTAATTTTAATGAGTTTATTTTTCTTTATTTTGGGAGGGGGGTTAAGTTTTTTAAATTTTTTTTGAGAGAGAGAGAACACGCACATGCTTGCTCATGAGCCAGAGGAGGGGCAGAGGCAGAGGGAAAGGGAGAAGCAGACTCTCCACTAAGCAAGGAGCCTGACTTGGGGCTCGATTCCAGGATCCTGAGATCATGACCTGAGCCAAAGGCAAATGCTTAACCAACTGAGCCACTGAGGCATCCCAGTTTTTAATTTTAATTCCAGTATATTTAACATACAGTATGTTCTTTAGTTTCAGGTGTACAATATAGTGATTCAATAGTTCTATACATTATTCAGTGCTCATCACGATAAGTATACTCTTCATCCAGTCCACCTATTTCACTCATCCCCCTGCACCCCCCCCGTAACGAATTCGTTCCCTAGAGTTTAGAATCTTTTTCGTGCTGTATCTTTCTCTTTTTTCCTTTATTTTCTTTATTAAATTCCACATATGGGTGAAATCTCATAGTTTTTCATTTCTCTGACTTATTTCGCTTACCATTTTACTCTCCAGCTCTACCCATGTTCTTGCAAATGGCAAGATTTCATTCTTTTTTATGGCTGAATACTATTCTAGTGTGTGTGTGTGTGTGTGTGTGTGTGTGTGTGTGTGTGTATATCATCTTATCCATTCATCTATTGCTGGAACTTGGGCTGCTTCCATAATTTGGCTATTGTAAATAATGCCAAAATAAATATAGGGGTGCATATATCATTTTGAAATAAGTATTTTTGTATTCCTTGGGTAAATATCTAGTGGTGTGATTACTGAATCATAGCATAGTTCTATTTTTTTATTTTTTGAGGAAACTTCATACTATTTTTCCACAGTGGCCACACCAGGTATGCAGTGCATTCCCCTCAACAGAGCATGAGGCTTTTTTTTTTCTCCATATTTTCACCAACACTTGTTTTTTTGTGTTTTTGATTTTAGCCATTCTGACAGGTGTAAGGTGATGTCTTATTAGTTTTGATTTGCATTCCCCTGATGATGAGTGATATTGAATAACTTTTCATGTGTCTGGTGGCCACCTATATTAGAGGCTTTATTTTTTAATTGATTTATTTATTTGAGAGAGAGCATGCACATGGTGGAGGGGGGGAGCAGAAGGAGAGAAAAACTCCAGCAGACTCTGCACTGAGCATGGAGCCTGAGGCAGGTCTCAATCCCATGACCCTGAGATCACTACCAGATCTGAAACCAAGAGTTGGACACTCAACTGACCGTGCCACCCAGGTGCCCCTAGACAGAAACTTTAAGTCAGCTATTTTAAATATGTTCAAAGTGGTAAAGGCAGGACGTCTGGGTGGCTCAGCAGTTGAGCATCTGCCTTCAGCTCAGGGCATGATCCCAGAGTCCTGGGATCGAGTCCCACATCAGGCTCCCTGCATGGAGCCTGCTTCTCCTTCTGCCTATGTGTCTGCCTCTCTCTCTGTGTGTCTCTCATGAATAAATAGAATCTTTAAAAACAAAACAAAACCAACGTGGCAAAGGAAACCATGTCTAAAATTTATAGGACAGTATGTTATCAGTGCCTCACCAAATAGAGAATATCAATAGAGAGATAGAAATTATGAAAAGAACCAGAGAGAAATTCTGGAGTTGAAAAGCACAATACCTAAAACAAAAATTCACTGGAGGGGCTCAACAGCAGATTTGAGCCACAAGAGGAAAGATCAATGAACTTCAAGATAAGTTAACACAGATTATCTAGCCTGAGGAAAAGGAGAAAGATGGCAAAAATGAACAAAGCCTTAGAAAACTGTGACGCACCACCAAGTGCTCCATTATACACATAATAGAATACCAGAAGGAGAACAGAGAAAAGGGGAGGAAAAAATATTTTAGAAGACCAAAAAGTTTCTAAACTTGAGGGCTCCCCTCATACCCCCAGTGGGGAGGGGATGCTGAGGCTCTGCCCACACACCTTGCATGAGGCATCAGCTCAGAACCATAGCCACCCCCACCATTTAAGGGTGGGGTGAGGTGGGGCACAGCCTAGGGAACCTACCAGGAACTCCCCTGTTGTGAGCAAGATGTTCACTGGTGGTGAGGGACAGAGAGCATTATGGCAGAGCTGATGGCCTTAAGCTGGGCCCAAGTATGTGAGATCCTGAGGAAAGAGCCGTACAGGGCAATGCCTTCCATCAATCCAATACACATATCTTTGTCATTATGGGGCAAGTTAACCAAGATCTACCCCACCATCTGGTGGCTGTTCTAGGATGGCCTTCTGCCCAAAGACACCTTCATCATGGGCTCCACCCGCTCCCACCTCAGTGGCAGACGTATGAAAACAGAGTGAACCTTTCTTCAAAGCCACCCCAGAGGAGAAGCCCAAGGAGTTCTTTGCCTGCAATTCCTATGTGGCTCACCAGTATGACAACACTGCCACCTACGAGTGCCTCAACAGCTACATGAATGCCCTCCCCTAGAGGCTGCAGGCCAGCCACCTCTCCTACCTGGCCTTGCCCCACTCACTGTCTATGAGGCAGTCACCAAGAACCTCCATGACACCTGCATGGGCCAGAGCAAACAGGCTGGAACCATGTCTGTGTGGAAAAGCCCTTCAAGAGATATCCTCAAAGCTCCAACGGCTCTCCAACCACATCTTCTCCGTGTTCTCAGAGGACCAGATCTACCCCATTGACCATTACCTGGGCCAGGGGATGGTCCAGAACCTCTCATGGTGCTGAGGTTT